ATTCTCTGAACTCTGCTTTTATATAGAGAACTTTCTCAGGAGCCAGTGTGGTATAGCAGTTTTAAGCATTGGACTATGACTTTGGAGACCCAAGTTCGATTCTCCACTTGGCCAGGGGAACCCACTGGGCGATCCTGGGTGAGTCACACACACTCAGCATCAGAAAATCCCAGATGGGGTTGCCATAATGACTTGAAGGCAGATAACAACAAAGAACTTTCCCAAAGACTAGCTTTATTTATTATGGATGGCAATAGGGACACTCCATAAAATACATCACATTTTCAGATATTTTTAAAGAACCTCTTCTTCTTCTGGTACATTTTGTCTCACTCTACTCAAAATGCACCACCACTTTTGTTGCAATATTATTACTCCTTTCTCATTGTACTGCATGCTTTATGGATGCATTCATAATTTTTTTAATGGCAATATACAAATAAAGATTTTTCAGTGAGAAAAAATATCACAATTTATTAGTAATTCATGATTTATTGGGAACAACCATGGGTATATACAAGTTTTCTACTAGTAATAGATACATTTTATCAGAAATCCTTCATTCTGATTACACATTATACAATAGACAAGGCACTAAAATGTACATCTAGTTGTTACCCTTAATTATGACTTATTTGCTAGACTTTTAGAGTCTCCTCTTTCAATGAAATATAAATATTAATATCATCATGAAATGAACTTATAAAGATTATCAAATTATTTAAACACATTAGTATAAGTACAAGGTCCTTGTCCTATAGACCAAACAGGACAAAAATGCCTATTTAGAGTAGTGGCAGCTAGTGGCTCTGATGTGGGGCAGTAAACCTGTTCCAGGTTTTAACTCAAGTATTAAAGAAGCTGTCCAAGGTGTTGGAATGACACGGTGGTGGTATGAATTCACCACCTCTCTGATGTGGAAGTTACCAACCATTCTTGTCTGGTGATGAAGGCAGTTTTTAGTATTTTCGGTGATGCAGATTAGAAATTCTGCAAAAAGCAGAAACAGCTTTGGTATCATATTAGAAGAGCCCTAGAATTCTACCCACCGTCACATGAAGGAGATGCTGAAATAGTAATCCACACATGCACTCTTGAGGTGATGCAATTCCAAAATAATTCTGCCATATCAATTTGCTGATTGAGTAGATCTGCTTCAAGTTAGAAGCACTCGGATGCACTATACATAAATTGAGCTTGACCAGCAATACTACTGTCTCCAAGTCTGGAAAAGAAAAATTAAATTTTAAAGGGTGTGAATTGAGCCACTTTGTTTCAAAATGTGCCTCAGATTTCTTCAAGGAGCAATACCCAAGAAACAAAGGAGGAGAATAACCCTATTTGACCAAATATTGAGCCAACAGAGACAAAGTCCTTGGTCATGCAAAGGGATCTTGTAGCATCTTTGAAACTAACTGTGCAAAAGAAGTTGTAGCATAAGCTTTTGTTGACTTGCTGTGAAAGCATATGCTACAAGATTCCTTTGCATACTGATACTCCACCCTAACACAGCTATGTCTCTGCTCGGTCATCTGAATTATATGCCAAGTAGTAATTATTACCTCCTGAAGTTTCAGGTATGGCTGTGTGGTAAAATGGCCATCTGTGGTTCATAACAGCTGGAAGCTTACACTGGTAGAATGAGAATGGAGCCAGACTTTATGTGTCTTGTTCAACCAAAATACAGCTTCCCTGGCTGCACCTTCTTCAACAACTTAGAATCATAGATCATAGAATTGGAAGAGACACGTGCTATCCAGTGCAACCCCATTCTGCCATGCAGAAACACTCAATCAAAGCATATCCAATAGAAGGCCATCCAGCCTCTGTTTAAAAACCTCCAAAGAAGAAGACTTCACTACTCTCCGAGGGAGTGTGTTCCACTGTCAAACAGCTCACACTGTCAGGAAGTGCTTCCTAATGTTGAAGTGGAGAAGCACAATACATGTCAATATAGCACAATGTGCAGAAGGACATATTATTAAATATATGTCTCCAGTTATTTAAAAAAATTCAAGACCTGACGTTTCTATTATATAATCTGGAAGCTACCATCTTTAGATAGTTCACTATCCAGTTCACCATGGCTGGTAAATCTTGGCTAACCAATTATAATGTGGATATTATCTTAGGACCAGTGTTTGCCAGTCTCTCAGGTGCATTTGGTGGGAATAAGAGAGAGGGCTTTCTCAGTGACTGCTCCCAAGCTTTGGAACTCCTTCCCTAGAGAGACCAGGATAGCTCCATCCTTGCTGTCCTTCCGATGGCAGACAAAGACATTCTTGTGCCCGCAGGCCTTTGCAAACTGATAAGGGTTGGGAATGTTGTCCTAATTAAAAGTTAAGGTTTGTATTTTTAACATATTCTAACTCATAACTGTTTTAATTCTTAAAACGGTTTGTTTTCAAATTTTTATATTTATTTATTTTAATATTGTTGTACTGTTTTAAAGTGTATTGTTTTATACTTGTTGCTTGCCGTCTTGAGTCCCTATATTAGGAGAAAGGTGGGATATAAGAAAATAATTATTATTGCCAGTTTTTGCCTAGGAAAACCAGTTGAATTTAAAATAAATGAGATTACATCTTTAAAATGTTTCATTCTATCACCAGTAGTTTGAATTGAGATAACACATTCTTACTATACCAGATATGTTAATCAGCTTACCTAGTGCCAGGATGTTTATCAGCAAAGGTTTTGTAAATAGTGTCAATAATTACCTAGTGTTGTTATTCCAAAATCAGTATTGTAGCTAGTGAGAGGAAAATTAAATGCAGACAGCAGTGATAATTACAGTAGTTTTTGCATTTCATTTCCCTCTCAGTATTTACAATCACAGCCTCAACCATGTGTAGTGCATATATACACCTTTAATTATGGATAATACTCCAGGCATCTGATGAAGTGGATAATAGTCCATGAAAGCTCAAACAATAACATTGCTTAGGCCTAAATTCAGTTGGGGGTTGGAAACAATAGCTCAAACATCCACCTAAAGGCAAACTCTAAAGATGATCTCAGAAATCTCCAAGTTGCAGGAGTTAGTAGTTATGAGAGGCTTCAGTTATCCTTATATCTGCTGGAAGATAAGCATAGACTCTCCAACAAATTCTGCTAAGTGTAGACTCTGCAACAAACCCCTGATGTGACTTGCAGATAATTTCTTATTTCAAAAGGTACAGAAAGGAACAAGCTGGTCAGCAATCCTGGACTTGATCCTAATCAATAGGGAGGAGTTGGTCACTGGAATCAATATTGTTAGTACTTTAGGGGAAAGTAACTATGAGCACTAGAATTCACAATTAAGGGACATGGAAAAGAAGAGTACAGTCAAACACAAACCTTGGACTTTGGGAAAGTTGACAGTTGAATTCCATAGCATAGGAACAGCCACTGAGAAAGCTTTCTCATGTTCTCACCTGTGATGAGATCAGGGCCAAGAGAAAGCCCTCTCCTGTAATCTAAACAAATCCTAAAGTACTGACTACATTGAATCCAGTGACCAACTCCTCCCTTTAGGTTAGGATCAATTCCAAGATTGTTGACCAGCTTGTTCCTTCTTCTGCTTTTTGAAATAGGAAATTATCTGCAAGGCACATCAGGAATTCTGGCATGTTCATATAGGGCGAATAAGGTCTTTCAGATAGTCTGGACTAATATCATGCTTTATCAGTCATGATCAGCACTTTGAACTGTACATAAAGCACATTGTAGAAGTACAAATGAGATGTAATCAAGACATGTGTCACTGTAGCCAGATCTGACATTTTATGGAATGAGTGACACTGGCACATTAGTTTTCACTATGCAAAGGCACTGCTGAAACCTGGGCACCCAGGCTGAGAGCCAAATCTGGGAGAACCTCCAAGCTGTGAGCCTGAGATTTCAGGAGAAGTGTAACTTCATCCAGCATAAGCAAAGTCCTTTTTCCTTGATTTGTCTATCGACTGACCAGGAGCATCTGACTTGTCTGGATTAAGTTTCAATTGATTTGCCCGGATCCAGTCCATTACTGACAACAGACATTGGCTCAGTAACAAGACAGCTTCCTTGGAATCAGGTGGAAAAAAGAGTTGGGTGTCATCAGCACATTGGGACCCTACAGGCCAATGTCCAGGGTATAACTGGAGTCTCCCAGCATCACATTCTAAATTTGCCTCTCCTGGGAGGAAAAGAACTACTGCAGAACAGTGTCCCCAAGTCTCTTCCCAGAGGTGGCCCAGGATCCCATGGACAACTGAAAGCCACTGAGAAGTCCACTCCCCCTGACCCTGTATAGGCCATCTACCAAGGCAACCAAAACTGTCTCCATCATATAACTAGACCTGGAGCCAGATTGAGATAACTCAGCTCAGAAACACCTGGAGCTGGGATACCACTACATACTCCAGAACCTTGTCCAAAAATGTAATGTTAGAGACTGGTCAATAATTATCCAAAATGGTGGTATCCAGAGATAATTTAAAAAATAATGGATTCACTATAACCTCTTTCAGGCAGCATGTAAAATTCTATTGCTACTGTGAGACATTCACCATTCCTCTTACCCACTTGGCCAGTCTTTTTCATTAGATGATATGAGTTTCCCTTCTAGCTGCTTTCAGGAGCTAAGAGGGGCAATGATCCAGTACAGTATATTTTTACAGAGACATTATATGTAGTTTTGAATTTGCCATGTTACATTTGTTATATTAGTTAGTGTTTCACTAACCTGAATGTTAGAACAATCTTAAAAATCATTTGCATATATAATACCCTTTCAGTGCTGTTAGAATGGTTTGGAAACTTTGCAATTTTTAACTTAAAAATGTTTTATGTTTTTATATATGCTGACAAATACTGTGTGTGTATTCCAGTTCCTTGTTGACTTACAGCAACCCCATGAATTTCATAGGCTCTTCTTAGAAAAGGAATACTCAGAGATGGTTTTGCTGATTTCTTTATTCGAAATATATCCTACAGCACCTGGTATTTGTTAGCAGTCTCTGACCGAACTGAGAGCCAGTGTGGCATAGTGGTTTGAGCATTGGACTAGGACTCTGGAAATAAGGGTTCAGTTCCCAGCATAGCCATGGAAACTCACTGGGTGACCTTGGGCAAAGCACACTATCTCAGCCTCAGAGGATGGCAATGGCAAACCTCTCTGAAGAAACTTGCCAAGAAAACCCTGTGATAGGTTCACCTTAGGGTCACCATAAGTCGGAAACGACTTGAAGGCACACAACAACACAACTACTAACAAGGGCTGACCCTGCTCAGCTTCCAGATCAGAGGGAAAAGAGGAGGGAAAGAAGTTGCTTTTTAAAATATTATGGATCATGTATTGGTGATATTATATAGCTTTCCAGGGACTGGGTGATTTAGAAAATTTAGTTGCAATTTCAAAAGTAGCCATCAAAGTGACCTTTTGATTGAATGTATCTGATGCAAAGTTGAATGAGCTGTTGCGTCACTCTTTCACCCTTATAATATAAAATGTATTTGCTGTAAACAGCTGACCACCTTTTTCTGTGATTCACTGTCAGTGGAAACTTTCTGAGGGAAACTCATATCATCTAATGAAAAAGATTTCTTTTATTCCCATGTAGCTTGAACATTCATAGCTGCCTTGAATCCTTTTGAAAGAAGAAAATCCTTTTGGGATATAAATCTAATAAATAAAACCTGCTGCTATTTTGCCTAGGATTTCATACATCAATTGACAAACTTTTTGTAGACCAGATATATGCAACTATGGATGTCCTAAAGGTTTTGGACTAAAACTCTAATCACCCCACCATTTGTGATACTGGCAAGGGGTGAAGGGAACTGTAGTCCCAGAACATCAAGAGACCCTAAAAAAAACCTTTAAAGGTTTAGAATATTTTGCCTTGTAAGGAAAATCTGGAGTATTTCCCTTAAAAGAAAGCCATTTATCCAATAACAATAACAAATACATTTCTATACCGCTTAGCAGTGAACTAGCATTCCCTAAATGGTTTACAATGTGTAAGCCAATTGCCCCCAACAAGCTGGGTACTCATTTTACCGACCTATGAAAGGATGGAAGATCCAGTCATTCCTTGTACTCTTACTGTGTCACAGTCCTCAGCAGCTTTCTGGCCTTCTCATTTTTAATAGCACTACCTTTTAGAGGAATGAAGGGTTACATGGATTTAGCTCTTCCAATGGATGGTAACTCATCAGAGTGTTATCAAGTAACATGAATGAGAAAGACACTGTTCCGAAACCCTGGGGAACCACAGTTACAATAGACAGAAGACTAGATAGGCATTGCAGACATATTCTGTCTGGTTAGCAGAAAACGTTTCAGTCAAGGGCTTTCCATGTTTCCTAAAGCTCTAAAATGCTGGGCACTTGAAGCTGTAAAAGACTAGGTCCTTAAAAGACATATTATTCAGGCATCATGGATATGATGTGATATCTTGTATTGTGGTTAGCTTTGGCTTCACGACTACCTTGGAGATGGATTATTTTCAGGAACAGTGGGGACTTCCCTGTTCATGGGAAAAAACACCTGAAGTCCACTCAACTGAAGCTTACCATTGGTCACAGCAAGAACACAAACATTAACAAAAGCTATATTTGATTCAATGGTCAAGCTGCAATCCTTCTCTGCTTAAAATATTGGGAGAGCCATTTATCATATATACTCAGCTCATGTATAAGTCAAGGACAGGTTTGGGGGGACAAAATTGTGGATTTTGATGTGACCTGTGAATAGGCCAAGTGTAAATATTATGGACATGTAATAGAGGATGTCAAGGACAAAACAAAGGATAAAGATATTAAAGAACTTGAAAAATTCCAGCAGACATAACTGTTTGTGCTCACCCTAAAGGCTGGCTGAATGAGGAGGGAACAACAGTAAATGGTGGCTCTGCAATATGTAGGGGAGGCGAGCAGGCACGGGAGGGGTAAGAAAATGCACTCATGTCAAAAAGGATGAAAAGGCAAAGCAAAAAATAAATTAAAATTATGGTGACTACATTAGCAATGATTATAGCCTTTAACTTTAATGTGATAACTGTGCCTGATTTTAACCCAAAAACCTGACAAATTTAACAGGGACAAATGCAGAATTCTACTTTTAGGCTACAAAAAATAAATGCACATAGGATGGGAGATACTATATATATATATATATATATATATATATATATATATATACACATATAATCTGATTGGATGTTAATACTCTTTCACATTTAAGCTGTGTAAAGAAATCTGAGTTACACAGTAATTAATTGTTCAAAGGACTAACCTACAAAGGAAATGAGAATATAATTGGGATAATAATTTATATAAAATAATTATTGAGACTGTAAAGAGTTAAAAGAAATGAGACAGAAGAGATCTGCTGATTAAGTACCAGCAAGTCATCATGCAAAAAGGAAGTGAACTGTTTCAACCTTAGCCAATTGATTTCTGGAATCTTTAGTAATAATATTCAGTGGAGTTTAATGACACCTCCTGGATAAAAAGAGCAACTACAAGTGGAAGATTTTTTTTCCCTTAAGTTTTTTTTTGGGTTGATTGGACAAAAAAGATAGAATTACAGCTGTATAGCAACTGCTCAACAAGATGCCCATGTTAGTAATATATGGAATGAACTGAGGTTTCTTAGAAATGAGTATTGAGGAGTTAGAATAGATGACTAAACAAGGAGATATATACTGTACAAGGAACCAGAGGTGGAACTGAGGATGAATTTGATTGAATGAGACGGAGTGGGAGGATACAGTTTGGAAAAGGGAGAATTAAAGAGATGCTAAGATTCAGATATAACATTGCTACTGAGGCAATATTCAAGATTCAAGGACAATTATCAATCATCAGATGACTTCAATGAAATAAAGAAAAAGTTGGACTGTAATTTCTTTTAATGGACTTTAATAGGCTTAAAGATAGGATCTGGAAGAAGTGGAATAGCTATGTTTCTGATAATAAAATTAAAATATAAGAAGGTTAGATATATGATGATTTTCTGTTGATTAGTATAAAGTGAGGACTGAGTGGAAGAATATATAAAAAAAGAACTACATCTAGACTTAAGGGGGTTGCAGACTGCCAGAAATAGTGCAAATTGAGTCCACTTTTAGGGTTATGGCTAGTGCTAGGGAATCATGGGAACTGTAGTTTATTGTGGCACCAGAGCTCTCTGACAGAGAAGGCTCAATGTCTCAGAAAAAAAAAAAAACAATTTCCATGATTCCCTAGCACTAACCCTTACCCTTAATTCAATTTGCACTATTTCTGGCAGTCTGCAACCCCTTTCAATCTCTTTCTAAAATGTAGAACTTGAAAAATATGTTAATTTAAAAGATATGGTAGTATGCATTAATAATTAGAAAGAATTAAGGAATGCTGACAGATTCTTAGTAGAATTAAGAGAAAACACACAGAAACATCACTGTACACTTGGTTAGTGATTCTTTAATTCAATAACTTCATACAATAAGTAGAAATAGATTAATGAAACACTGCAGTAGATACGTGTTACTTAGCATTGTGTGTTTTGCCTTGTTTCCTGTGTTTTTGTCTTGTCCTGTATATACAGTTGTCCCTCCCCATTCATGGACTTTGAGTCCAGTCTTGTTCTTTGGGGGAGGGACAAGGGCTATATTTTAAATGGCTGTGCGCATGCCATCAGTTTAAATGGGGCTCGAATATTTGCAAGCCGCCATTTTCGCAGGGGGGTCGAGAATGGATCTCCCACAAATCGGGAGGGGCAACTTTATTCTACATTTTGTTCTTATGTATAGAAATACTGTGTGTTAATAAAAATATTTAAGAAAATAACATAGTTTCCAAGACAAGGAAAATAATAATCCCACTATATTCTGTATTAGTTAGGCCTCATCTGGAGTACTGTGTTTGGTCTGGGCTCCTCATTTTAAGGAGGATATAGACTAGTTAGAGCAGGTTTAGAGAAGGACAACGATGATAAAGAAGCATGGAGAACAAAACATATGAGGAAAGGGTGAGGGAGTTGGGTATGTTCAGTCTGGTGAAGAAAAGACTGAGGGGTGACATGATTGTAGGTTTGTTCACTGCTGCCCTAGAGCAGGGGTCGGCAACCTATGGCCCGTGGGCCGCACTCGGCCCGCCGAGGCCTGCCAACCAGCCGCCAACCCACGCCACCACCGCTGCGATCCCCGCCTTCACCCCATGCACTGCCACCGTGCGGCCGCCGCACACATCGCAGCCGCCATTTTGAAAAACAAAATGGCAGCCGCAGTTCGTTTGCACATGTGCCAAGTACTGCGCATGCGCAAACAAGCCGTGGCCGCCATTTTGTTTTCCAAAATGTGGCCGCGGCTCGCTTGCGCATGCACAGTACTTGGCGCATGTGCAAACGAACTGCGGCTGCCATTTTGTTTTCCAAAATGTGGCCGCGGCTCGCTTGCGCATGCACAGTACTCTGGAAGTACTGCACATGCGCAAACAGGGTGCGCGCATGCATACACAGTACTTTCAGAGTACTGCGCATGCACGCGCGTGCGAGCACCGCCATTACCCCCCCCTGGCCCGGCGGAATACCCCAGGACCAGCCCCAGGTGAGTAAATCTTGCTGACCCCTGCCCTAGAGGATAGGACCAGATCTAGTGGTTTAAGGTTACAGGATCGTAGATTTTGACTGAACATTAGGAGTTTCTTGACAGCTTTATACCACATCTGGTGGACTTGTAGCAACACAAAAAACTTTTGGACTAAAATACATCGTAAAGGTAAAGGTAAAGGTATTCCCCGTTGACAAGGTTGTCAAGTCATGTCTGACCATAGGGGGCGGTGCTCATATCCATTACTAAGCCAAAGAGCCAGCGTTGTCAGAGACTCCTCTGTGATCATGTGCACAGAACACTGTTACCTTCCCACCAAAGTGGTATCATCTATCTATCTACTAGCTTTCAAACTGCTAGGTTGGCAAAAGCTGGGACTAGTGACAGGAGTTCACCCCATCATGCAGCACCCAGGCCTCTAACTGCCATCCATCCGGTCAATCTTGTAATCAACAGAGTCAGCGTCTTAACCACTTGAGCCACTGCATCCCATACACCATACAATAAAT